TACATGCATACATACGTACGTACATCTTCCCGAGCATGTATGTACGTGGTCGCTTCGAACTGACTGATGTGTCCCCACGTCTCCTGAGGAGCTTGGACCGGGTGTTGTTACCCGTATTCCCAGAGGACGCAAGTGGGCCGTGGTCGCTGACCTGACTGCGACTTCAATGCTAGTTCGGGTGATGCCTTTCCTAGAACCCGATGCCTGAACAAGAGACCGGCATTCAGCAGAGACGGCCCTCGTAAGTGTCACTACTGCAGCCAGCGCCAGTCTTCAACCCTACTGTACGACTCGAGCACTTTGCAGCATGCACAACACTGAAATGGTTTGTTGTGGACCAGCAAGCACACTTGCACAAAGACTGTGCGCAAGATCCTGGATTCCTAGCGTTCAGCTTCTTCGCGCCAGGCAGCCACATTCAGCATTCGACCACCCAGCGAGATCATCTGCAGAGGGACGAAGCCCTTGCCGAGCTCCTTTGCCGTCCCAAATACCTTAGATGAGGTTATGAAAGGATTGAAACAGTCTGGCCTGTCATACTCGGCCCGATGCGGCCAAGTGAGACTCAAGCTGCACTCTACACAACCCCTTGGCAGCCAAGCCAAAGGTGCAGCTCTTGGACCTCGAATCTCCATAATTATCCAAGTTGCGAATCCCAGATATGCGCCCGTCTCGCCGGGTGGAGGCACCAGCAGCTCTTTGAACTCTGATGGGCCCATGCCAATGGCCAGCGCCAGCAGCACAGCGCTGACCTGTGGCTTTCTCCACAGCATTGAATCCTAGACCCTACTAGTGCTGACCACCGTCAGCTCTTAAGAGATGGAATGATACACGCTCAGGAACTTCGATTGCACCTTTGTAGCTGGTGACTCTTGATGCGTCTTAGTCTTCTGCGTGGAGGCTACTTCCAGAGTCTCTGACTTGCGAAGCGATGCCCGTGTCTCAGGGGGCAGCCTGAGGTGGAACCACCTGCCGCAGTAGAGCCTGCAAGCATACCAATCTGTCGACTTTCCCGTCCTATTTACATCCGAAGCGTAGCAGCTGCTCCATCTTGACAACTGTCAGGACTTCTGCTTCTCCCGTTGCCCTGACGTCCTTGATATCAGAGGCGCTGGGCAATAGGTGCGAAACCTGGCCGGAGTGGTGCCACACACGAGTTTCAAACGGTACAGCTCAATGCCCCAGTCGAGCGCCCTGACGAATCCCGTCCGGCATCACGGGCATCTTGGACTCCAAGGAATTGAATTGAAACATCGCTGGCCTGCACTCGTTTGAGAAACGGCTCGCGAAGATTGGAGCTGGCATCATCAGCTGCTGTCGGGTCGAAACCCGAAAACCTCAAGGCCAAGCAACGGCAAGACTTGCGCAACACGAGATGAGGCCACGAAATTGAAGCTGAGGTAGGAACACCTTGTAGGCATCGAAGCGGCTCCAATCCGGCTCAACTGCGTGGACCTCCCATCTTGGCTTCAGGGTGTACCGGGTCCCAAAAGGATTGCAGCAGCCTGTCAACTGCCAGCCTGGTCCATGGTGAGGCCGAAATCTGTCGTCTTCTGTGCCACCAACACGCCGTTGGGGCAGTTCTGCTCTATCGCTTCTATCGCCCTGACAAGTCTCAGGAATAAACGATTGAATGCTTGCATGCTGAATACATCGGCGCATGAGAGGATTTCTGAACAAAGAAGTCCGCCCAAGCCAAGCTCTAAGGATGCACAGGCCAACTCGAAAACATGCGCGGCATGGTGGAGCTAAGTATAGTCTCGCAGCATACTTCGCTAACATAACTGATACAAGCTGTAGTATATTAGTATGGTAGTACAAACAGTATGTGAGCGATGTACGCTTGCACATCCAAGAGCAATGTCCATCCATATGTCTAGGGCGAAGTTTAAATCAACTCAAAACCTACTATATGCTGCAGTGCCTACTACTGTGCCAAGTGCTCCCTCTTCTCACCAACACCAACACCA